AGGGGTTGTAAGATAATTTTCTGGACTTTTCTGTAATACTGGTCACTGCTTGGTAATTTGTGAAAGACTGAATATTTGATGTCTTTGGGCCTTTAGCACTTTTTAAAACCATGTGAGAAGTTTAGAAGGTAAATATCTATGGAGGTGCTAACAACCCATAGACATAGAAAACATAGCCTATATCAATCATAGACCATATAAAATAACAGGAGTAACCACCTTTACATCACCCATTGGTGTGTGGACTCCCATACTGAAGCCTTGAATTGGGCATTTTTGCATTTGCCATCTTGGATTTTTGGAGCCTGATCGTATTTGGTTGAGATGGTGGAGATAACCCAAACTCTAGCAGCTAGCTTTATGAGCACTGTGCATTTTCAGCTAAGGTTAACTGTGATAATACTAATGCTAATCTTCACTAGCAAAAAACAGACTTAAAACCATTATAACAAAATGTAGTGACTGGAAAAACTTAACATCTGACAGCTTAGAGGGTCTTTTAGTACAACAAAACACTGAACAAGACTTTATTGGGGCAGCCAAAGTGTTACAATTAACCTTAATGACTTGAAAACACACTGACATGACAATTCTGTTAATCTGGGACTGCACCATGGTTATGATACCTAACCAATCTTGTCGTTGTGGTACTGACTTGTAAAGGGACAGCACCCAGTAACAAGGTAATATAAGGAGCTGAAAAGTCCCTATGGGGTGGGTGGGAAGGGTAGTGGATGACTTTCACCTGAGAGCCTGTAAAAATGAGGTATTTTACTGACATTGTAAGTGTATTTTGAAGAAGACTATGTATCTGACAATCAAAAACAGTACATTTCCTGTGAAAACAGTAGTGTATTTTATTTTCTGTAAACAACAGACGCACATGGGGGAACTTAGTGGGTCATATTATAGATGTGAGAATCCACTGATAAAGCAGTGGTATTTGATGAGTTGGGATGAGAGCGTTGGATTGACTCGCTTTTAGAGCCAGCCTCAAGTGGCCATCAGAGGAACTGCGGTTTTTGGTACTCCAGAGTTGGCTTCATTTGTTTTAGCCTCATTTGGACATTGCCGCTTAACCCTAACCCTAAGCTTATCATGTTCTAAATGTAAAATCTTAACATGAAAAATAACTGAGCTACTACAGCTGTCGAATAAAGGAAATAAAGCAGAATATTTCTCTCTGAGATTTAGTGGAGTAGAAGTATAAAGTATCTGAAAATTGTACTTAGTAGGCTATAATATTTGAGTAAAGTTACTGTTTGTTACCTTTCAGATTTAAAGTTTTATCCTAAACATATGATCGGCAAACAAAATGTTTTACATTGTTACAGACTGACCTACTCAGCAGTGTGTAAAGTAGTTCAAATTAGCTTAACTATGAAAACACTAAAATGCGGCTTACACATGATGGAACTCTGGTAATATGATATGGTTAATATTATTAAAAGAGCCATTCTGCATAACAGTGACTTTTACTTTTGCTACATCAGGTACATTTTGCTACTCTTGTACAACTTTAAATGTAGGACTTTAATGGAGTATTTTCTTTGATTTACATAAAACACATAGAAAACTTTTTCCACACTGAACTTTACTCTGAAAGTCCATCACATCAAATGCCAGCAGAGTGCTGCTGCAGTGTGAAGTGCTGGCAGGACACACAACGACCAAACGCTACACTGACAGGCCCGGCTGAACTTAATCCGTGTCCCCTTTGTCACCACAGTGCTGAGTCAAACAGTGTCATGTTCAGGTGACCCAGGGCAGGTGTGGGAGTGGGTTGGTGTGTGCGTGCTGGCCATGCACTGTAGGCTGGCAACAGGTAATGGAAAGACACGTTAGGTGTGAGATGAAACCTGAAGCCCTGGAGACAGACAGACAGAGGGATTGTGACACCTTAGAATCACATGACCACCAGTTCAAAGTAATTCTCCTGAAGCTGTTTGAGACATCATGGTGCAGTTATGAATTAGTAATACAGGGTTGACACATTTCCAAATACTCCCCTTGTGCAAGGCTAAATGGCGGCGTGCGGCTACTCTTTGAAAACACTGCAGCTTTTTTTTTTTTCAAAAGAGAATGTGAAGAGCAGGGTGATAGACTGTGCAAAGTTTAAATGTTTACGAAGCCATCAACACTGTGAATACATTTTGAAATCCATTCATTCAAACAATTCAAACATGTCATAACATTGTGTGTATTAGTAATCCAAAGTAATTAGAGTGGAGTTTTTTGCTATTTTCTTTTGTTTTCTCCTTTGTCCGTTTGTCTTGTTGTTGAAGCTCTATTCTTGTGGTGTTAGACAGAGGATTATTCTGCTGTTAAGATTAAGTATCAGTCACACTGTAAATAGGGTGTGTCGACTTTAGCAACAGAAAAGCAAGTTGTGCCACATACTTGATGTAAAGATTGTTCAAGAGCACATACCACAACTAAATCTGTACAAACTTCTTAAAACTCAATCTACTATATTATTATTCATATCATCATGAAGTTTCATGGACGGGAAAAATGTTTCACCCTTCCTCCTCACACAAACCCATTCTTGTAAAATGAGAGCACTCCCTGCCCCAGTAGTTAATGGACCCAGTTTGACTGGTTTCTATGAATGGGTTGAGCGACCAATTCTCAGATTTCACAACAGGAAAATCACCACAGTGACTTATCGGGAACAATGGCCTTAGAAGGAAATCAATAAAAGAAAGGGAGTAAGTACGTGAGAAACAGTGTTATCAATATGGTAATGGAGTGGCAATGTCCAAATAGAGGACAAAGATTATGGTCCTGATTTTGAGGTCAGAGTGAGACTTCAGTTAAAAAACTTACAAAATCTACACAATCTCATAAAATTAAATAAAGTGTCTTATTAAACATAGAATTTACAGCATGGAGTCATCATGACCATGCAGTCTGAGCAGGGGAGGGGTCAGAGTGTCCCAACCAAAGTCAGACGCTGACCGAAAGTTTGTTAGTTACTGGCTTATCTGAACCTCTGTATGCATGAGTTGACTGATAATATCTATTGTTAGAAAATCAGTCAAACGACTGCAAAGAGATACCATATGACTAATAAGAGATACATAACCACTATAAAGAGATGCACAAGACTACAAAGAGATGCAAAATCCCCACAAAAACAAGCACAATGACCACAAGGAGATGAAGGCCCCAAAATTACAAAGAAAAGCAAAATGAGCACAGATGCAAAACACAATGCACAATGACCAAAAATAGATGCAAAATGACAATAAACCAGTGTAGTAGACTGGAAAGAGATGCAAAAATGATTACAGAGAAGCCAAAGTGTCCACAGAGATGCAAAACAACCACAAATAAACATAAAGCAACAACAAAGAGATGCACAAGACTGCAAAGAAACGCAAAATGACCACAAAGAAATGCAAACAACTACAAATAGACACGCAAAACTACAAAGAGACACACAATGACTACAGAGAAATGAAAACAACTACAAAGACACAAAAAAAACACAAAGAAACTCATAACATCAGACACACAAAACTACGACGACACACAAAATAACCACAGAGAAATGTCAACAACTACAGAGAAGCACAAACCTAGAGATGCAAAAGGACCACAAAACAATGCAAAACAACTACAAAGACACTCACAAAATCACAAAGAGACACAAAATGACCACAGAGAAATGCAAAACAAACAAAAGAGACCATGCCTGTGGACTATTGGAGTTACATATTGCAGCTATTTATTGACGTTACTTAACATGCATTTATTGCATTGAATAATGTATAAACAATGTAACTAATATTAATGTACAGTTCATTCTTCCAAAGAACCAGGGCTTGTGATGTCCTTTCTGAAAAAAGTTCCATGTTTGTCCTTTCTGCTTTTCGCTTGGTGAAGCAAATACACAAACATCCAACAGCGAGATCGAGTGTAAGCAGAGAATTTCATCCTACAGAGAAACAAACAGAGCTTTGTTAAATAAAAATCCCAACTTCACAACATGTCCTGATTGTGTTATGCTTTAAATGTGAAGATCTGCACCTGTATCTGTAGCATTTTCCAGAACCAGGAGTGGGAAAACTGCTTTGTGCTGCAGATAAAGAAGCTGTGAATCTTATTTGGGGAGTAACTCTTCCATTGGCACCTCCAGATTTCCAAGGTACCAAAAGATCCAGAACACGAGGCTGAGGAAGATAATGAGGGGTCCTGAGAAGACAAAGAAATCCCAGAAGCTGAGGGGAGCGAAGATTCCAACGATGAAGAGGATGAGGCCTACTGTATCCAAGAGGACAGCGATGAAGAAAAACAGCAAGCAGCGACCGAGATAGCCAATGTAATCCATGATGGGAGCTGCTGGCTCTACTTACAGCTTAAACAATTATTCACAGCTTTAGCATTTTATCTGTATGACGTGAAAATGTTAGGAGTGAAATTAATTCAGAAGAAACGCTTGTTCCCTTCTCAGTGCCGCCTGTGAGTCTGAGGTGAGGCTGATGAGAAGGAAGAGGATAAACACTCAGGTCACATTCCGTTCTCTACTGTATCTACATCTCACATTTTTTCATGACACCCTCTGACAGAGGAGAAATATGTTTCCTTAATGATGTCAAGAGATTTTCCGCCTCTATCTGTGTGGCTTCATTTCATAAACATGTTACATTCCAGCATCCTCTGATCCAAGCCTTATCTCAAGCCCACAGGTGGATTTGGAAAAGCTAGAAATATTCGGCCCGTAGTTTGGGCCTTGATGATTGGGAATAAAATAGTGCGAGAACACCTAGGGTGCTGATAACACCCTTTAAAAAGTGACGAGTTTAAAAACACAGCTTCCTGTGTGGCGGAAAAGTTTTTAAATAATATGAGGTAGAACCCAGACAAGGAAAAGAAGACAAGAAAACTGTCTCTTGCGCAACTCAGCACATGGGCGTTTCTGTGCCGTTATCTGGCACAAACAGTATTTGTCATGTGTATGTAGAAACACCCTCAAACAACAGATAATATCCAATTACATGTAAACTTTATTCCCAAGAAAAATAATTTACATATGTCACAAAATCGGAACACAAAAATAGAAATTTGCTATGTACATGTTCAAGACCTTTTCTTCCTCTGTGCACAGCCCTTCTGCCTAATGTGGGTGCAGAAGGCTTTTCCCTGATTAAGAAATTGTCTTCCCATTTATAAAAGTGACTTTAGTTCATAAGTTCAATGTTTTCAGTCTGTTGGAGTTTTCTTTTGGAAAGCAGCCCATGGAGGGAGTCCGACCTTCAGCACCAGGAAAGTCGCACATCACCTGTAAGGAAGAGGAGAGACAGGGCTTTGTGTATTTGTACAGGTTAAAATTGACAAATGACTTTAAAAATAGCAATGGGAATTAATGTGAAGGGAGAGGAAAACACAATTTAAAAGATAAAGTCTATCTTATATATGCTGTGTAAGGCTTGAGGGAAGATGTAATTTATTTAGGACCCCCGTATTTTATTGAAAATATGCCTCTGCTTGTGAGATGGAAAATGGAATTATTGTCTGATAGAGTGAATCTGTTAATTAGTTTTTAAAGTAAGACATGAAAATATCTGGAAGATTTCCCTCTTCTAATTCAGATAACATTAAAAACAGAAGTTTTAATGAGTTGACTTTTCTCGCTTACTCACAGTTTGTTGAAGTCTGAGAACTAAGAATATATTAAAAACAATAAAGGGAATAAAGACAGGTCTATGAAGTTAATAGATTTGGTCACTTTTTTAATCAATATGTTCTCTCCAACTTGAGTTCCCATCAATAAAAAATCTAGTTGAATTTTAGCAACATTAAGTTAAATTCAAAAAGCAGATAAAGCAGAGGTAGCTTCTTTAATAAATGCGTAAAAAATTTAGCGAGAGAATTAATGTTTAGGCTAAAGAAGTTCATAACAATTTCCTCAAGCCAAATGTAATATTTGGAGAATGATTGTTTTGCCGAGTTAACAGCTTGAAATAAAACAATTACAGTTCATTCTGATTAAAGGACAGCAGAAAATAAGCTAAAATAAAGAATGTTTAGATATTGAAAAAATAACTTCAATAACAATTAACTGATTAATAATTTCAGCTCTGGCCATCAGCAAACATGGGAGAAACTATAATTATTTAATAATAATTAATATAAGCAAAAAAAATAGCAGCGACCCAAGAATGGAGCCCTGGGGCACACCACTCTGTAATTTTGCTTTGTGAAAATAGCAACCCAGTATCCCAAGAAACTGTTTTCTGAAAACTATATTTCAACCAATTTACTTAAAAAAAATGTCACAAATCATGCCATCAAACGCTTTTGAGAGATCTATGAAAAGATTTATAATTGACAAGTGCAGTTGAGATTTTGTTTCCCAAAGTCCCGTGGGTAGAATGGTCGTTATAGAAACTGCACTGGTGGCTGAAAAAGGCAGTATTACATGGGAGACTACTTTTTGTTACAGAGCACAAAAAGTGATCAAATTTAAATGCAATGCCAGTTTGTATACTCTCCTTCTTTTGTGGCTGGTTACAAATATCCAGGGAAACATGCTGGAGCCTTTTAAACAACACATTAACCATCTGCCCAGTACTACTACTTTGGCCAAAGCAGGGTTGCCAAATATGGCTAGTGATCAAAGGCGTAGGTTTCATTACAACATCTGGGGGACGCACATGAAATGGTGGTTTGGGGGTCCTTCGCCATCAAACACTTAATTTCCTTTATTCTGGTGAATTTTTGTGCACCAATTTGTGCCTTTTATGTATGAATTTACAGTTTAAATGTCTAATTTTGTCAAAACAAAAGTCCTCAGCTAACTTTATGTTTTCACTGGGGGCTTCTAAATATTGAAAGGGGACATGTCCTCTGCAACCCCCAAAATCTACACTTTTGCTGGTGATTAAGAAAAGTTCCAACATCTAACACAAACTGAAACCATGTATTGTCATTTCAAAGGCACTGGTATTTTTTTCAACTCCAGAGAGCCACTCATCTGTTTCCTTCTGCTTCCCTTCTTCCACCTATATATTTAACAGTATAGTATTAATCTTCTCATGAAACTCCCTGAAAAAGGGCTAACAATATATATCCCAAAATGTTGTACTAATTCTTTCCCTTAAATGTTCTTGCTCCGCGTCTGAGATAAAGACTGTTATGAAAAACAAATAAATCCCTCCCTCCTTACCAGCTTGATATTACACAACATGAATACATGCGTAGATAAGGCAATAATCACTTCAACCACAACCTAATCTCATGTTGCTTATCCATGCAAGCCACTATCAAATCTGATTGATCAACATGTTGCTTATGACTTATAACGTAGAGAGGCCGTAAACTGCTACAATAGTAATGTTGTCTTTAGGTGGAGGCCTGTCTTCATAGGAGGAATGTCCAATGATAAAACCCTTAACGTTCACTCTGGGCAAAGGTTTAAGGCTGGATTTAAGAAACACAGAGGTCCAATTTCCCAAGTTCAGCCCCACCTGCTTACAAATTGTTTTTTTCACTTACACAAAACTTCATACTAATTCTAAGCAGGTATGTACTATGTCCACTGTAGGAAATGAACAACAAATAAATATACTAAATAATAATAATAATAATAATAATAATAACAATCAGCATGCATACAAAAAAACACATGATTTGATGATGCAAACTGCAGAGTATGGTGAGACAGTTACAAACAGAAAATCTTTTTTTTTTTTTATAAATGTTTGGAAATAAGTTTGCTTTTTCAGTGGCATTCAGTGACATTCTGCCATCTGATTTATGTTGTAATTACTTTTTCTCACTGTGGTGTTTCCTATACCACTGCCTTGGGGAAGGGGGGGCAACAGGAGGCCACCGCCCCCTGTGAAAGAAAGAAACAAAATATTTTATTTATGTTATTTACCTAATTTATGTGCACTCAATAATTTCAGCTCAGTGTGAGAGTCTTTAGAGCATTTTGCTATCATTTACAGGCTCCTCACTGTGTTTCACCGAAGGCCTTGCTTTGCTTGTCCATACCGAAGTGAAGTACAGGAAAGGAGAGACAGTAGAAATAAACTTACTCAGGTTAACAACTCAATATGTTATGTACAATTAAAGCAAGTTCCTAGAGGCCAAAGACGGACAGACATCAGCCACCACAAACATCTCAAAATTAAACTAAAACTAGGGCTGGGCGATATAGAGAAAATCAAATATCACAATTTTTCTGAGCAAATACCTCAATATTGATATTGCAATGATACTGTAGGGTTGGCTAATTGGTGCTTTCACAAAATATGTATTTACACAATAACATTTTTGATAAATAATCATCAATTGTTAGGGTAAAGGCAAATATTAGAACAGCTAGAATGATATAGAAAATTACATCACTTTACTGTAATGCAGCTTTTGAAAAGACAACACTTACGATATCCAAAATCTAAAACAATACTTAGTCTCATATCATGATATCAATATAATATTGATATATTGCCAAGCCCTAACTAAAATATCTGCATTTTTCAAACACACCACATTAAGCAACAGTAGCGAGGATGCTAGCAGCTTTTGGTGATGTTGACAACTTGGTTTCAAATTTCCGAGTATTGACTTTCCCGCATTGCAATGTAATCTTTAAATTATCATTTTTTGGTTAGCATTAAAGGACCAAAGTATATTAATTTCTAACTGCAAAAATAGAATTGCAAATGCACCACAATCGTGTGTGTCTGCAAGCCATAGATTCGTTAAATTTTTTGTACGTCATTATGTAGTGGATATGTTGAATCTTTAATTTTCAACAACACTGTGGTTAACGTGGTTGGTTTTAGGCACAAAAAAAGGCTTGGTTATGTTAGGAAAGGATTTGTTTTGGCTAAAATTCTCCAGTATTTGGGTCACAGTCCCTTCTAGAAAAGCAGCAATGTCTCAGTAAAAAAACAATTGCTGTACATGCCACTATCTCGGCAGAAATAATAATGGGAATACAGCCATAGCTCACTAAAAAACACCCTAGTTTAGAGGCTACAAAGCCACTGGAAACACAGTGAAGGGTCCCTGATAAACACCAATGTTCGGGAGCTACAAAGCCGCATTGCCAACAGTTTCCTCTGGCAACTAGGCTGTAAAAGTATACTTTTAGAACATATGAAATTGGGAACAACCATGGATTTTTTTTCTCAGTTTAGTCATTCATTTTACTGTTCTCTGTCCTCTCTTTTCCTACATGATGGGCTAAATTCTGTTTCAAAGCCTTTTCTACACCCAGATATTTTTCTGGTGGATAAAAATAAAAATCGTTCATTGTATTTGATTTATATTAATACGTGGGGGCTACAAGTAGTCAAATGTAAAGACATATCATTAAAAGTCAGCATCTGAAACCCACAAAGTGCAAACTACAGATTGTCAACTCCAACTCAGGATTCAGGATGTTAAACAGCGTAGGACATGACGTGGGTGGCCTCAATACTATAGCCTTTAACACAGTGAGGTTACAGTAAGGAACCTGCCACATTGTTCAGTATGCAATGTTTGTTCTTGACCACGCCATTTCACACAATCCCATATCTCAAGATCATTAGCCAGGTTAGATAATACGGGAATCAGGCTGGGGCCTATTAAAGTTAACTATCTGGAACTAGTGAATGGAGGGAGTGTGCATGAAGCAGACTTATATATGATCCCTGCATTTGGTTGCTGAGTGAGGAGGCCCAGCCATACCTACACCTACCCACTGCACTCCATTCCACCGGATCAATAAGCACTGCTGAGTTCCATTAAAATGCAATTGCGCCTTTTGGCCCAAAGGGTGTCTGGCTTGCCACCCGGTTACAAGCAAACTGTCGGCTAAAATAATGCAGAACTGTGAAGGTGAGCAGAAACGGTCAGGCTCATTAATTAAAAGCTGCCACGGGCCACTGAAGATCTTTTCACAGCAGCCAGAGAAAGGGAAAAAAAATGATATTATTACAGATATTCATGAGCAGAGTGAGCAGACAGGGTCCTGAGGGGGAGTAGTGTTTGTGTGAGGGTGCCCATTCCTCAGGACCGGCTTCACTGTGGGTGTCATCTGATCACTGACAATAATGTGAGACATTTCATAATTATGACTGGGGTGAGAGCAGAGGGGGGGCTGCCGTGCCAACGTGCAATAAGGATGGCAACGGTGCTGATGAAAGAGTTACAGCTGTGGCAGTGAGCAGCTAATGACGAGCAAAACAGCAGCAGACTGACAGAGGGGTGAAAGCAGGGCAATGTGCTGAATATTTATTATTCAATTATGATTGTTTGTTGGTTCCACGGGCCCAGACTTTCAGAGGATCATACATTTTTCAGAGGCTTTCTTTAACTTTTAGACAATGTAACAGGTTATAGTGTCAGGAGACTGAGTGGGCTAAGGGAAATGGTTTTCAAAGTCTCAACAGCAAGTTACAATAATAGACTGTAGACAGGGAGGATGTTGTTGGCCCCGGGTTAGGGGATGATGAGGAGGTGAAATACGCACCATCTCGTGTCAGAGGAGCCTCTCTGCTTTGCCATCCGCCGCCTGCAGAGCCACGTCTGAGCACTTCAACACCCCCAACTCCACGTTTTTGTCAGCTGGCGATGCGCCCTCGGTCCATCCATCAAACCCTCTGTTGTCGTGACCCAACACGGCTCCATTGCCGCTGCCGTCTTCCCAAGTAACACAAGGCAGTGTACCGTTCATCTCCTTCCCGTTCCCTATGCTCTTCTTCTTCTCCTCCCCAGCTTCCAGAGGCTTCTTACCGCCTTTGGAGAGCCTCTCTGACAGCTTTCTGGCCCAGTGCGTAAAGTTGATGTCCAAGTCCAGAGAGCTCGTCCTGTCCTCCGCGTAAAGCTGGACGTTCCCCGTGTACCACAGAACCCACCAAAACAAACTGAGGAAAATCACGAGCGAGCCCGTGTAGATAAGGAAATCCCCATAGAAGTGACCGTCCACGTTCAGGTTGCCGAAAATCCCCACCAGAAGTACAATCAGACCAATTGCATCAAAAACAAGGGCGAGGAAGAACATCGGCGCGCAGTTTCCCACGCAGCTGTGGGCCATGCCGGAGGAGAGCTGAGAGCCCGAGTAACGGCGCCGAACACCTTAACTTGTTTTTCAGGACGCACATTTCCCCCACCTTGCACCTGTGTGGCGTTCACCTGTGAGCAGGCCCCGCCCTTTCTCTACGTCACTGTATTCAGTGGGCACCCAGGGGGCCCAGATCAGCATGCTGCCTTCAAATGCACAACGTACATTTCAATTGTCGACCCTCTGCAGGCTAATTCATGGGGAAAACAAAATAGTGTTCAACTCCGGATTTTTCTGGCTGCGCGCACATCCCACACAATAAGCAGCTACCATTTACAACTGCGTCCAACTCACAACAGTTTTCTTTGAAACTGAAAAGATAGTGCTCAGGAAAACTGTCCACACGGATATCCTTTCCCTGTTTTAAAGGGACACTAACCCGATAAAATGACCATTTGTATATCAATTACTCACCATGTGTTAAGTTGAATGGTGAGCGGAGAATTCAAAACAGGTGGAAGGTGAAGTAAACAGCATTTAACAACAGCAAACAATATCAAAACGTGTTTACATACTCACACAACTCCTGCAGTATAATCCAAGTCTCATTTATCCAGTCATTTCCTCAGTGCTTCCCAAACATATGCACTTTTGCTAAAATGAATATAAAACACCTATGAGTAGTGCGCCCTGAGCACACTATTCAGTTGTGCATGCGACTGGTTGTATTGGCGTGTTTTAGCAAAATGTAGCTATCCTTGGGAAGTACTAAGCATAATGAGACTTTGATTACACTGCATGAGCTGTGTGAGAGTTGGTAAACAGATGTTTTAAAAGTGGGGGCATACAAGGAAAACAAGGTTCTTAAAAAAAACATAGTAAAATGTGGTGAGTAATTGATATAAAGTCATTTGGCATTTTGTTAAAATATCACTGTTTAAGCATGTCAGTCTGCACAGTAATTTTGGAGGTGAAGTAACCTTTAATAAAAAAAAAAACCCCTATATTTTAGTCATTGTATGCCAGGTGACAGGAAACTCAGACTGCAACTTGACATGATTTAGTGTAAAGGTCACAAGCTCATGAGCACCCCCCTCTAAGGCTGAATCCAAATGTCCACCTGGCAGACTTGTACTGTAACATACTGCAACATGTTCACCAGCATCACATCAAGTTCGTGATGGCGTGAGCATGCTTAAAGACATGCTTTAAGTCAGTGTTGTTGAGGAAACATTTGAGCGACAACTCCTGTCATGTAGTGATTGCTGCAACATTTGTCGCTGTTTAAATTTTACAAAAGTTTTGTTGGCAAAAAAAACCACCCACATGTTTGACAATTGATGATTCATGAAGTCTGCACCCCAAGCAGACTCTGGAAGTCTACAGGTGGTCTGATTGAGCCCCCTTATAGACTGGATGAATTGTGGATTTGGATAGCCCTCAACCTGCACATGTGAAGTTTGGACATTTGGAATCAGCTTAAATTCTTTTAACTTGAATTTTTGGTCAGTGGTCCACACCAACACAGGTGAATGGAGTACTGTACAATTTGTCAAGACAAGGTCCCCAAAGGATGAATTTGAAAGTGACCAGAGATGCCCTGAATTTCCTCTAATGCCACTATGAGGTTGACATTTGTGGTTTTGAATGTAATGTCTATTTGGTGGATTGGCATTAAGTAAACACATTTCTCAGGATGATGCAACTTTAGTAATCCCTTCACTTCAACACCATCAGGTCAAAATTCATTTTCTCCAGTACTTAAGCTTGACAATATACCTGCAAAACCAACATTCCCTCTGCTGAACATTGGGTTTAGCAATAATCAGCAAATGTTATTTTTAAACCTTTGAATAGCTAACCTATTGAGACATGGGGTCTCATTCTCAGACCTTGGCAAGAATTAGAAAATGACCAACACGACATTCATACAAAGACAAGTGCCAAGGTGGTGTTAAACACCCACAGAAAAGTTTAACAATCCCCTGAAGATTCATACTGGACAGCTTAAGTTCCTGTTGTAGCATGTTCTAGGTTGAGGGGGCAGACTGTATAACTTAGTATGAGCCTGTTCCAGAATCTCAGGTTAGAAATGTCAATACAACTTTCTGCAGATTTCAGTAAAAGAAACAGTCACTGGAGATTGAAGGACACAAGGTCAGTTTTAATTGACAAGTGACAATGGCTCAGTTGAAAGCAGTCTTTGAAGAACCTCCAGTGTTGCGATGCCTGAAACAAGGTTTAAAGAAAAAATATTTAAACAGTATTGGAAACCTGGACAAAATTCAAGTTGGAAACATTGACACTATTGGAAATACCACAGCTTACCCATTGGAAGCCATTTGAGGAGCCACTCCTTGGGCAAATGTTGGATAATTGTAGCGTGGCTGCTGTGAAACCTTAGGCTGCTTGGGCATGTAGCGTGGCTGCAGGAGCACCTGTGGCTGCTTGGGCTGGTAGTGTGGCTTCTGGGGCATCTTGGGAAAGTAGAAAGGCCTTTGAGGCAGCTTGGGCCATTTGTGCATGTAGCTGGGCTGCTTTGGCCACTGGGACTGGCGTTGTTTGGGCAGATAACTTGGCTGCTGGGGCAACTGCGGCTGAGGCTGCTGTTTGGGTGGGTAGCTAGGCCGCTGAGGCTGCTGCTTGGGTGGGTAGCTAGGCTGCTGGGGTGCCTGCGGCTGCTTGGGTGGGTAGCTAGGCCGCTGCTTGGGAAAGTAGAAAGTCCTTTGGGGCTGCTGCGGCTGCTGCTGCTTGGGTGGGTAGCTAGGCCGCTGCTTGGGAAAGTAGAAAGTCCTTTGGGGCTGCTGCAGCTGCTTGGGTGGATAGCTAGGCTGCTGGGGTGCCTGCGGCTGCTTGGGTGGATAGCTAGGCTGCTGCGGCACCTGTGGCTCTGGCTGCTTGGGTGGATAGCTAGGCTGCTGCGGCACCTGCGGCTGCTGGGGCGGATAGCTAGGCTGCTGCGGCACCTGCGGCTGCTGGGGCGGATAGCTAGGCTGCTGGGGCACCTGCGGCTGCTGGGGCGGATAGCTAGGCTGCTGGGGCGGATAGCTAGGCTGCTGGGGTGGATAGCTAGGCTGCTGGGGCACCTGTAGCTGCAGCTGCTTGGGTGGATAGCCAGGCTGCTGGGGCACCTGTAGCTGCTGGGGTGGATAGCTAGGCTGCTGGGGCAGCTGCTGGGGTGGATAGCTAGGCTGCTGGGGCAGCTGCAGCTCTGGCTGCTTGGGTGGATAGCTAGGCTGCTGGGGTGGATAGCTAGGCTGCTGGGGCACCTGCGGCTGCTGGGGCGGATAGCTAGGCTGCTGGGGTGGATAGCTAGGCTGCTGGGGCACCTGTAGCTGCAGCTGCTTGGGTGGATAGCCAGGCTGCTGGGGCACCTGTAGCTGCTGGGGTGGATAGCTAGGCTGCTGGGGCACCTGCGGCTCTGGCTGCTTGGGTGGATAGCTAGGCTGCTGGGGTGGATAGCTAGGCTGCTGGGGCAACTGCTTGGGTGGATAGCTAAGCTGCTGCGGCACCTGCGGCTCTGGCTGCTTGGGTGGATAGCTAGGCTGCTGGGGCAGCTGCTTGGGTGGATAGCTAGGCTTCTGGGGCACCTGTGGCTGCAGCTGCTTGGGTGGATAGCCAGGCTGCTGGGGCACCTGTGGCTGCTGGGGTGGATAGCTAGGCTGCTGGGGCACCTGCGGCTCTGGCTGCTTGGGTGGATAGCTAGGCTGCTGGGGCAGCTGCTGCGGTGGATAGCTAGGCTTCTGGGGCACCTGTGGCTGCAGCTGCTTGGGTGGATAGCTAGGCTGCTGGGGCACCTGTGGCTGCTGCTGCTGGGGTGGATAGCCAGGCTGCTGGGGCACCTGTGGCTGCTGGGGTGGATAGCTAGGCTGCTGGGGCACCTGTGGCTGCTGGGGTGGATAGCTAGGCTGCTGGGGCACCTGTGGCTGCTGGGGTGGATAGCTAGGCTGCTGGGGCACCTGTGGCTGCGGCTGCTTGGGTGGATAGCTAGGCTGCTGGGGCAGCTGCTGGGGTGGATAGCTAAGCTGCTGGGGCAGCTGCTTGGGTGGATAGCTAGGCTTCTGGGGCACCTGTGGCTGCAGCTGCTTGGGTGGATAGCTAGGCTGCTGGGGCACCTGTGGCTGCAGGGGTGGATAGCTAGGCTGCTGGGGCACCTGTGGCTGCTGGGGTGGATAGCTAGGCTGCTGGGGCACCTGTGGCTGCTGGGGAGGGTAGCTAGGCTGCTGGGGCACCTGTGGCTGCGGCTGCTGGGGGGGATAGCTAGGCCGCTGGGGCGGATAGCTAGGCCGCTGGGGCACCCGTGGCTGCAGCTGCTGGGGTGGATCTCCAGGCTGCTGGGGTTGATATCCAGAGTCTGCTACCTGTGGCTGTTAAAAGATAACTAGATGAATACTAGATTTCTGGCACATATTGGTAGTTTGTTGCTGTGATTTAGCATCATTCCGGCAATTGAGTGTTAGTGTTATGTTTTATGTACTTGCCTTATTTCCATTTGAGGTTGAACCACCACTAGCAAGTGGTCCATTGCTCCATGAAGATCCATCTCCAGTGTTGAAGCCACTTGAATCTGGTCGAAAGCCTCCAACTGGCACTTCATTATCTCCATACTTCCCAGCAGATCCAATACCATCAGCTGTAGAGCACATATTTTAGACCATGCATCTAACTAGTTGAGTAGCTTTATAGTATGATTATACTCACCATTTGTTTGTCTTCCAATAGCTAGCAAGGACAACAGCAACCATCTAGACAGACATCCCATTATTAATAAATACTTAGCAACTTGTTCAACAATCAAAATTATAATAATTGAAAACTTACCCCAAAAGAAACCCCATGGCTCCAGCCACAGTTATAGGCCAAGTCAGGCAACAAACACAGTCGCTTCTGTCAGCTCCTACCAAGCCACACAACTGAACCAGACTGAACCCAAGAAATGACCAAAGAAACACTGGAGCTCTTTTTATGCTCATCCATCTCACCTTGTTGATTAACAGGACACAGGTGTGAGTAGTTGAAGGCAGGTGTGGCTCATTATATGACAGGAGAGGTCCACTGCATTATTGGGAACTAGAACTGGCTGGTTCAGACTTTCAGCATTTCATTTTTGAAAAAGTTTGCTGTGAATCTTTTAGGTGTCCTGAAAGAGCACAAATATGTGGTCGGCTTTTTGCATTATGTGTTATTTCAACCATTTAAAACTGGATTGACAAATACTTTCATTTGGTGGTTACACTTGGTGGATATTTATTGAATCAAACAGAGGAAGGATGAACATAATGATGACCAAGTATGATTTCAGAAAATGTAAAAACAAAAAATAAGATTATTTTAACACTACTACTACTATCGCTAATAATAATATTTTATGCTTTTTTTTCAAACATAAAATTCAGACACCACAGCCTGTCCACCCTTAGCTTTCATTCACACTAACATGGGCAATTTCACATTGGCTCTTGGCAATTAGCCCTGTAGTGACAGTGATGGAGTCTCCAGCAATCATTTCCAAATCCAGTGTTATAGACCGATCAGGCCATGCATTCATACCGATTCATACACAAAAGGTCAAGTCAGTTATGTCAAAACACAGAGAAAAAATATTTCAAATATGACAGTTATATTCCCCCTTTTACCTTACAGCGAAGCCAGGAGAGAAAAAAATGGCCTTCAATTAATGATTAGAAAAAAATAAAATCAAGCTTAAGAAATTACTACATGGCATTAAATCATAAGCTCAAATCACCAGCACCATTTTGAAAAAGGCAATGCTAAAATTTAGCCTAACTTTAGAGTGTGATAAAGCCCCTTCCCAACATGATAGCATGACATGGTTGATGACATCGTCTAGTTTCATATGATCCCAGTTCACCCTAACTTTAAAACTGAGGTCGAAACTGGACCATACCGTTTTCACAATAACTGTGGGGGTTGGGGTATTAGATGACAAGTTGAAATATGTTTTAATGATACCATTTAACACATTTATCATGTAAAAACATATAACTTGTACTGTCAGTGATATAAGTCCGTAAGGTTATTGTTCGTTGATTGTCTTTGCATGGGAATCCCCAGGGCCTTGGGTTGGGGTCATCTGTACCCTTTGACTGCCCCTGGTGGTGTGCCTGGATAAACATGACCAGTTGACTAAAGCATATTTTTTTCTGAAATAAGGCCTCACAGTCTGACAGTCTCTAGAATAACATGCCATGGTAAACAGTATCAAATGCCTTGTACAAATCTATAAAATAGGGCACTTCAATAAGGTGTCCAAGGCATTGGTTAGCCAAATTAAAATAAACCAAATTTAAAATACTGAGCCTTTAACAATTTAAGTCCCAGAAAAATAGAGACATCTTAGTGTCCTCAGTGATGCCCACAGCCCTGTGTATAGCCTGAGGAGTTCAACCGGGATAAGTTAGAAACTGTAAACTGACACTTTATCTGGGTAGTAAAATGTCACAGCAGTTGTTATTTCTTTACTATAAAATATGACCTTCAATACATCGCATATTGATTGCAAGTATTTTAAGTGTACAAAAATTAAATAGAAAAAAAAAATCAAACACAGCAGCTACAGTCATGATGTTTGGACACATTGCGTCAAGTTTGAATGGTGTAAAATCTGAAGGTACAACAGCTTTGAGGTCATATTCAAGGTTATTCAATGTTGGTGACATAGCACAAAGCTGCCCACATCCCTTATTTATTCAAGGAAGTTTCACCGAGAGCCAGGCTTTCTTTTGCAGGAACACCCTTTTCAAATTGAAACACACATTCACACACACATTCACACCTGCGAGCTGCCCAGTCCAGCTTCACTGGAGCAGTAAGGGGTGGTGGTAATGAGGGAGGGGCATGCTCTTTCATTTTCCCCAGATTTATGTGCTGCTCTGGGGACTGCGACGGTGACTGATATATTTTTGTTTGTACAAAGAGTTGGGTCCTTCTTAGCATCATAATCAGTGGAACACAGGTAGCATACAAAACACACACAGTAGAAATTATTGCGTTTGATAATTTTCATGTGCTCATCTGAAGAGGTGGTGTAAGTAACTATAGCTACTGAAATTATTACAACCCAGTCACCAGAAAAAAATGTTGGTATTGCTTATTTTCTGCAAAACCCAGATACATTTGTACATTTTTATGTACCCAGATGTTGGAACTTTACATTTCTTTAAGTTTCAACAACACTGTGGTTAACATGTTAGTTTTAAGCACAAAAACCATTTGGTTATAGTTGGGAAAAGATCATGTTTTGGCTTTAAATACCTGGGTTTGGTGGCACAATCCCATCTGGAAATGCAGCAATATCTTGATAAAACACAAGTGCTTTTTGTGGCACAATACTAACTGGAAATGCAGTGATGGCTTGGTAAAAACAAATGCTTTTTATGCCACTATCCTGGCAGGAAACACAATAATGTCCTGGTAAAAAAACAACTTATTGTGGCACTATCCCAGCAGCAAATGCAGCGATGTCTTGGTAGAAAATGACCGATTTTCGTGGCACTATCCTGATGGGGAAACACAGCTATGGCTCAGTAAACAAAAACTGTTTTTTGTGGCAGTATCCTGACAGGAAATTAAGCAATGTCTTGGTTAAACAACCACTGTTTGTGTATTGAACAGTGGTCTGCAGCTTGGCAGGGGTTTGGCTTGAAGTCTGAATGGCACACTGAATTTTCCCAGCGGCCTCTTGCAGCCCAACTCAGTGACCCCTGCACCTTATTGAAACCGCAACCTATGATAAACGATTTCATGACTTATTAAGCCCCGTGATTAACTGGAAGACACAGCAGATTACATTGATTTCCTTCAGTGAAGTCCTTCATGGCTCAAAGTGATTTCTCTGCCATATGCAAGACATCTGCTGCAGAAAATTACAAGAAAATAGGAATGAAAAGGGGGATGATTATCATTATAGTGTCTCCCTCGCAGCCAACAGAGAGAGAGAGAGAGAGAGAGAGAGAGAGAGAGAGAGGATTTCTAGGATTACCACAACCACAGCGTTAAACCAAATCCAAACCTAACCCGCTAAATAGGCTTTCTGTGTGCTTAACTGTGTATGGTGACAGTGACTAATACTGACAACTGTACATAGAGGGGAAATCTCTCAGGCACACCAGTATCTGTGCGCATGTATTTGACTGCTAGAGGGCGCCAGTCATCTTTGGAACACATCTGATCCTCCCTGGAGCACTGCATTGGAAACACACTGCATTGCTTACCAGCAGTAAGTGAAGATGTGGAGAAGCAACATTTTTACTTGAACCTTGTGAAACAGAGCTAATGTAATTTACAATAGTTTCACTTTGAGAGAATCTGATTTGTTGGTTTACAAGGCTTGCACATGTACATGCATATCACACACACATAGATATGCATATAAAGATATACAATATAAAGTCAACTGAAGTCACCAGTTGTGAACTGTAGGTTGAAAATGGCCCCAAAAAGCTCCTTGTATTTTTCTAAGCAGATTGTACATGCATACATGCAGCACATCTTGATACACCTCAACACACACATGCACCATGAAAAAGTGTTAACGTCACGCACCTACTTCTCAAAGTTTAGCTACCAAACAATAGTCTATTAAAGCAGAACTGCAGCGTGATACTTTAAGTCAGCGGTGTGTGTCCCTGAGGTTAAAGTTCTTACTCTACATAATACACTGCAATGCAGCGATGCTGCCGCCTCTAGTTTAATGGTAACGGGTTATTTTTCTGATCGACCTCCTCCAGACAGCTCCAGTCTGATGGAACAAGTTGACATTTTTTAAATTATTAGTCAGCATAGTGATTAATATTACCCACAAATTGGCCTTTAACTACTGTCATTACATGAAAAGTTAAGATGGATTTCCTAATTTAGTATAGGGACCTACATATGTATCAAGTTTTAAATCAAAGCTGCACTTATTGGTATGACTACATGTAATCTGATGTGGCTCAAACTTATAAACCCAGCTCTCAGCTCTACTGAGCCTTTTCACCTCTTTTAGCTCATTGTTTTGGTTGTACGGCCAACAGTGTCTCATTGATCTGATTCTCTGCTGCAGCAGGAAACTGTTCAGAGCTGATCAACACACTGTACTCTTCCTGTCCAACACAAAACAGACAGACAAAGTTAGCAACTTGCTGCTAATCAGAATGAAGCTGTTAATGAGACAGATATTTTTCTAAAACATAGCTTAACACCTGTGCAATGTAATTGTGACTTCTTTAAATTATTTTCAAGGCCAAAGTGTCTGCCACCACAGGACTTCTTTAAATCCTGCATATTGTAGCTTTTATTAATCAACATTTTCACTTAAAGGTTCAGTGTATAGGATTTAGGGGGGTATATTGTCAGAAATGGAATATAGTAATATAATACCATAATGCTTTCTTTAGTTCATAATCATAATTGTGTTTTCAGTACCTTAGGCCCTCTGCGATGAGCACTGTTGGAAAATCGCAGATTTTTTTAAAAGTGAAACTGCTTATTCAGTGTTTCTACTGGTTTAAATCACCAGTGTTTGTTTTGCAGTGGAGGAGACCTCTGCATATAATTCAGCTCCAGGTAAAAACCTCTTGAACACTGACCACTGAAAAAATTCTAAACAATACAAGTTTCAGCTCGTTGCAATGTGCAAGGCTCACCACCAGATGTCACTAAGTCCCCTTAAATCTTTCACACTCATTGATGAATGGAAGTGAAAGAGATTCGCATTTAACAACAGGAAATACTATATTCAATCATCTATTTACAAACTTTCAAACAAATTGTGTAGTACAATCCAAGTCTTATTTATCTACTTGTATGGTCAGTTTTTTTTACTGAAACCCTACTATTTAAGACATCTGAATACTAGTAGTGCCGTTGGGCAAGCAGGTGCATTTAAGCTCTACTCGTGCATTCCATTGAACAGAGTTCAAATGCACTCACATGCTTGTGTGAGCTAGTCGTCAGTGACTTTTTATGCA